AAAAATGTTAGCCCTACAAGAAGCCGAATCAAGTTTTCAGGGGCTCAAAAGTGAATTAAGAGCTTTGTGTAGGCCCGACTTTTTTTTAAGCTCCAGGAACATCCCCCCGAATGTGCCAACTCAAATCCCTGTCCTGTCACAAACTCGGACACCAGCATGTATTTGAAACACACCAATATCTCTCTGTCCCACTTTCTCAAAGCTCGAAGGAAACGGACACCCAAGAAACACATGGAGCTAGTCACCCTCAAGCACTGCCAAGGGCGCAACAGCTTTTAGGTCCCACCACACAGACCACAGGTGGCGCCAGCCCCCGCCCCGCGGCCCCCGCTTCTCGCCTGAGCTCCCCGCTCACAATCGGGGTGTCTCCGGCCTCGGGGCGGTCCTTCTCGGGGGCTCCGGCCCTGACCCACTGCCCCCAGCCCAGCAGCTGCAGCGTGGGGCACCCAGGCCGAGAGGCCTTCGGCCGTCCTCCCGCCTGCCACGCCCCCTCCCCACAGGCCGCCCGCCCCTTTGGCCGCGAGGTGGCCTCACCTCACGCGGGCCGGAGCGGGGAGGGCGCCCGCGTATCCGCCCGCCGCCCAGGCCTACGGCCGCTCTGCTGCGGCTCGGCCCCGACGGCCGGCGGCGGCGCGCTTCTGGGGGCGGGCTCTTCTTCGAGGGGGTTTCCCAGGGGCCCGGGGCGGGGGAGCAGGGGGACCGGGGCGGGGGAGGGGAAAAGGGGCTTGGGAAGGAGGGGAAAGAGGGGAAGAAAAGGGGGGAACCAAACCCGGAAAGGGAGAAAAGGGGGGAGGGGGGAATCAGAAGGGGAAGAAAGGCCCAGAGTCCGCCCCTCGCTGCGGCCTGCGCTCTACGTCACCACGTCCGGCGTAGTCGTCATCGCGTCCTGCTTCCTGTGTGCGCCTCTTGCGCTCGCGGGCGTCTACTCGCACACAGAACTCTCCACGCGCGCGTACGTGGCCTCAGACTCGCTCACGCACTGTCGCGCTCTGTTATCTTTGTGCCAAGCCCCCAGCCGAGATGCAATGGGGTTCTCACCCAACCTTAAATTTAAGAGTCGGAACTACCCCAAGGTGTAAACATAAGACCAGTAATGGTAATTGTAATTTCAGTTTAGAGAGCACTTTCAAAACCTTTTACTAGGACAATAACTCCTGCACCCAAACTCATACTCAATAAATACTCGTATAAATATAGTTCACTACGTAAGTGTCCATTTTGCAGATGCAAAAACTGACCTGGGAGGAACTCAGACCATCCTATTAAAATCAACTTTCTTACCATCACTCCCTCTCTAAGACAGAATTCTTTTAATGTCCAACTTCCCCCATGCTGTCCATTCTAAGTGGAATCAGTTACTGATTATGTGAATCTGGGTAATTTTCTAACTCCCTCAAAGAAGTATGTCATCTTCCACAGATAGAATCCTACCATTAAACATTTACCATGTGACAGAAACTGTGGTAGGCAAAAATAAATAATTGTAATATATTGTCAGTGCTATAATATAGCAGTTTCAGTGTGGAAACACGGAAGGAGCAATTCATTCGTAGAGATAACAGAGATTGAGTAAGCTACAAAGAAATTACAGGTGAGCCTTCAACTAACCTTGAAAAAATAAATAGTAGTGCACCAGACAAGGAAGAATGGAGAGTCATAGAGGTGTGAGCTGGGGGCTTTGGGTTTGTTTTTTTGCAGGGGGTGAAACCTCACACATGATAAATTAGTGCTCTACCACTGTGCTACATTCCCAGGCCCTCACAGAGGTATGAAATCTAACCTTCCTTCAAGGATCATCAAGTTGCAGGTTTTGAAGATGAGGGCAGGAGACGATGTCCAAGAAATAACAATTAATATTTACATTGTGTATGTGAAATCTAGAATGTGAAGCATTCAACATCTAATATTTCCATTTAATCCTCAAGACAAGCCACTCTCATATCTGTTCTATACATGGGGAAGCCTGAGGCATAGCAATTCAACCAAAGTCCCAGATTTTCAACTGAGGCACACAGCCTGCTTTTCTTTCTTCTTTTTTTTTTTTTTTTGCAGTACTGGAGCTTGAACTCAGGGCCTACAATTTTGAGTGACTCCACCAGCCCTTTTTTGTGAGGGGTTTTTCAAAATAGGGTCTCACGAATTATTTGCCTGGGCTGGCTTTGAACCATGAGCCTACTGATCGCTGCCAGCTGAATAGCCAAGATTACAGATGTGAGCCACTGTGCCCAGCCTCACAGTCTGCTCTAAATCACTCTATTCTTAGAAATATAACTGGGGAAAAAAATGTCAAAAATTGGGAATGGTAACATGCCCTTGTTTGAGCTCAATTCAAGGCCAGACTGGGCAACAAAGTGAGATTCCATCTGTTTAAAAAATAAAAATGTTACTGATAAGGTCAGTTCCTGTAGACTGGGTGACAAGAGTGGGGGTGCAGGGTTGTTTTTGGAGTGATGAACATGTTCTTGGGCAGAGAATATATACCTCAGTGGTAGAGTACTTGTCTAGCATGCATGAAGCCCTGGGTTCAGTCCCCAGCACTGCAAAGAAGAGGAAAAAAAATATTTTTAGGTTACATAGTAATGGTTGTACAACTCTAACTAGATTAAAAGCCACTGAATTTATACTCCAAAAGGGTAAATTTTAGTGAGTTATATCTCCACAAGACCCCCAAAATTGCTATTTTAAAAAATAAATTTAAACTAGGAAATAAATCTCCTATCATAGCCCTTAAAAAAAAATCAATCCATGTACAAGAGATCAAAGAGACTGCCACACACTGATTCAATCAGGAAGACTTGAGTGTAACCTCTGAGAAGCAGTCTATAGTGTTAACATTTGTTCATTTATTCAATCATTCATTCATTCATTTATTTTGTGGTACTAGGTTTGAACTCAGGGCTTCACGCTTGCTAGGAAGTTGCTCTATTGCTTAAACCATACCTCCAGCCACGTTTATTCATTTAATAAACCCATTTTTAAGCACCATTTTAGGCACTGATCTAGTAGTATCATGGTAAGCAACAGAGGTGATTCACTAAGTGGGTTCCCTACAGGTGGCATGTAGGAGAGGAGTATCTTGAGTGGCAAATGTTGGCAGGATTTCTTCAGTACATGTAGAGTACTCCACTCAGAAATGCAGTACTCTGGCCCACAAACAAACCAATGTGGCAGAAACAATAATAAGCTTTTATTAAATATTTACTATAAGTCAACCACTGGGTAACTGCTTTACAAAATGACAGAATTTTCAAGTTTTACTTTTTTGGGGAGCGGGGGGAGAAGTGCTGGAAATTGAACTCAGGGCCTTATGCATGCTAGGAAAGCACTCTACCACTGAACTACACTAGTTAATTTTAAGTCTTTCTTTTTATTTTGTTTTGAGCTTTTTGAGACATAGTCTTGCTATGTAACCCAGCCTGGCCTTGAACTCATGATTCTCCTGTCTTGCCTCCTGAGTGCTGGTATTACAGGCACTCACCACCACACCTGGCTAAATTTCAAGTTTTAGAAAGATAAAATAATACATAACTATATATTATGTTATACACCCCCCAGGTGTAACATTCCATAATCAAGTAATATTTCTTAAATCTAAACTGTACAAAAAGTCTGTGGGATTTTTTTTAAAAATCATAAGTAACCTCACTTCAGTTCATGTCAGATTTAGCCACCAGATAAATTGCCAAAACTTTACGGATAACAAGGTTTTTTAGCATTCTCAATGATAATTCTTCCCATTTTTCTCATAAAAAAAAGCCTAAAAAGCAGGCTGGCAGAGTGGCTCAAGTGTTAAGAGTGCCTGCCTAGCAAGCATGAGGTCCTGAGTTCAAGTTTCAAATCCTAGTACTAGAAAAAAGAAAGAAAGAAACTAAGAAGCAAGACAGAAGGAGTAACTTGTGCAGTCACACAGCTAATCAAAGAAAGAGAAAGGGCTGGGACGTCACTCAGTGGTAGAACTCTTAACTATCATGTTACCATATGCAAGACCCTGGGTTCAATCACAAGTGCCACAAGATTTAAAAAAAAAAAAGAGCAGAATTATAGCCAAGACCATCTGACTTAAAAGTCCCTGCTCCTACCTTTATCCTCTATCTTTACCAGGTAAACCCCTGATGTGAAAACAGAGTCCTTTCCTTGGGGACTCAATACTTGGGACTTTGGAAAAGAGAGCTAAGATTTCTGAGAAATCTCAAAATTTCTTTTCCTAGGTAAGACAAACTCCAAAGAGTGAGTGAATCTAGACCTCAAGCCCCTTTCCCACCTTCAGACTTCCTTCTTAGGACACAGGAAACCTGGCTAGGGCACATTCTGCTCTTTCCCTTAGCCTTCAGAATAATGGTTTTGATTCACCCTGGGTGAAACTCAACAAGACTGAGAGCCCCAGGGAGGGATGATGGAGGGGTGGACTTTGAGAAGCACCTGCCAGAGAAGAATGCAACTCTAAAATTCCCCTTCTTGTTTGGGGGTCTCCTCTACCCTCACCCCCCACCCCATTGTTTTTTTTATGTTGCTCAGGCTAGCCTGGAACTCCTGGGCTCTAGCCATCAACCTGCCTCAGCCACCCTCCTCCCCCAGAGTAATACAGTATCTTAAAACCTCTTTATTCCTTTCTCCCCCAGGCTGCCCAGAAAGGTCAGTGCTCTGGGGAAGAAGAGGAATTTCATCTCTAACCTTTGTCCCTAGGCCTGGCAGTTCACATGGGTAACTACTATCTCCCAACGTTGGCGTAGGAACATCTTTTTTCCCCAAACAAACCAACCTCTCTTCACATCCCCCACACTGTACTTTCACTGACTGTGCGCTAGCAGACTTTGCCAAGTTCTACCTGTAACTGGCTTCATTTTTTAAGTCAGGTCTTTGGTTGCTCTCTCTCCTACAAAAAGGAGTCATGCCAGCCAAACACACATTCTTCCTAGGACCCCTGGTGGCCAGGACAGAATTGAGACTACAGCTGTTGAAACTCTGAGCCCTGGATTTGTGTCTTTCAAGGACCTCCAGCAATGGCCTTCTCATTTTTTCTGGCCTTTCTATTCCTGGCTCCTGCCATGGCAGTCACCCTCAGGGCTGACAGTCAATGTCCAGCCTGTGGGGTGCCCCCCTTGGACCTGAAGAGCCAGCGGGAACTGCTTCTCAACCTTGCCAAGAAAAGTATCCTGGACAAGCTTCACCTCAGTCAGCGCCCAACACTGAGCCGGCCTGTGTCCAGAGCTGCTCTGAGGACCGCCCTGCAGCGCCTCCGTGGGCCCCCACAAGGGAACCCTCTGGAGGATGACAGAGAACAGGAATACGAGATCATCAGCTTTGCTAAGACAGGTGAGTTCCTAGTCTGCAGCTCTGCCCCAAACTCCAATCTCTCAAGGAAAGGAAAAGTTTTCTCACCAACCTTTCCCCTGACTTCCTCTCATCAACCATCAGACTCCCAAATCTGCAACCCTAATCCCAGCCACACCTCCCCCCACAATTGGCAGCTGGTGATTGGTAGATTTCATATCCTTAGTGCCTGGCCTCATGCCTCTGGTTCCTCTCTCCACAGGCCCCATAACCCTTCATAGATGTCAGCCCATCCAATCCCCAGGCCTGGGTTCAGGAGCTGGGTGCTGGAGAGTCTGTGCTTTCTCTGGTCCCAGGATCCAGTTCCTTCATCTTCCCTTCCTCCAGATGCCTCATTTGAGTAAAAAGAAAACAAGTAAAATACCAATACTACAATACCTCAGATTCCCATGTACCTTAGATCCCCATATTAGGGTCTCTATATCAGAACAGGGTCCAAATAGGACTTGGAAAGATGGATAAAGGATGGAAGGGAAGAAAGAATTACTTCTATAGAGGAAGAAATAGTTGAAAATTTTAGTAGACAGCTGGAAAGATCAGGAATTCTGAGATAAGACCCTAAAAAGTACACTAAGGCTTTTGCAGGCTTTTTTTTTTTTTTTTTTTGGCAATACTTGGGTTTTGCCAAAGTAAAAACTCAAGTCTTCACGCTTGCTTGCAGTACACAGTGCAGGCTGACTTCAAACTCAGTCCAGCCTCAGCCTCCCAAGTACTGAGATTACATGCATGAGCCATTCCCCACTCTCTTTTTTGCTTTTGTTTTGCAGTACTTGAATTGAACCTAAGGCCTTGAAAATGTTACACAAGTGCTGTACCACTGAGTTACACTCCCTATTTTCATCATCATCATCATTATTTTAGTGGTGCTGGGGTTGAACTCAGGGCTTCACGGTTGCTAAGCAGGCACTCTAACCCTTAAACCACTCTGACAGCCTCCCTCATTGCATTTTTAATTATCTGTGTCTTTTAGTACAAATTCCTTTGACTAATACAATTCTCTTCAAATCTTTGTGCTTTCTAAATAATAAATTATAGTCTGTATAAATAGCATCCCACTCTATCAAGACAAGTCAGTGTTGTGGGATAACACATTAAAGATTCTTCAAAGTCCTTTTATCTAGTTGAGAGGGTATACAGAATATTGAATATCACCTTAACTTTTAGATCTCTCTCTCTCTCTCTCTCTTTTTTTTTTTTTGGTGGCACTGGGGTTTGAATTCAGGGCCCCACACTTGCTAGGCAGGCTCTCAGGGCTTTTTTGGGAGAGGTATTGATTGATTTATTGATCAGTACTGAGGTTCGAACTCAGGCCCTTGTGCTTGTTAGCAAAGCATTCTACCACTTGAGCCACACCTCCAGCCCTTTTTACTTGTTGTGGTCTTCAGTCTGAGGCTCTGTTAGAGATATTTACTCTCTTCTTTTTTTTTTTTTTTGTGGTACTGGGGCTTGAACTCAGGACCTACACCTTGAGCCACTCCGGTTTTTGTCGAGATAGGGTCTTGCAAACTATTTGCCCAGCTGGCTTCAAACTGCAGTCCTCCTGATCGATCTCTGCCTCCTGAGTAGCTAGGATTACAGGCGTGAGCTCCAGGCTCTTCTTTTTTTTAGTTTTAGCAAGGATTTATTTTAGTATAACAGGACAAAGTAAGGAGAAGTGGGAGGGAAAAGGGGAGAAACATTTCTGACTCTCAAAGCAGGAAATAGGAGTAAAGAGTCTCTAAGTTCTGGTCGAAAACTGAACCGTTCTTTCTTTCTTTTTTTTTAAGTGCACCATTCTCCAGAAATGCTTTATCATAGGAAGCTAAAGCTAAAATAAGCCAATTGGCATTTTCAGCATTCTGCCTGGAAATATATCTAGCTAAATTCACACCTTTGTTAGATATGGTTTCTGGCTTCCAAGTTACCACAGGTGATAGCCAATATATAACTTGGGTTCCCCTTTGTCCAGCTTCCAAGAGCAATTTCTTCACAGTGCTTCCTGCCTTCACTCAGTCTCTTTCCTAGCCTTCTAACCTCTGCTTGCCACATAGACTGAAAGCCCATGCTACATATTTCAGGCTTTGATACTGGTAGTACCCCACTTCTGATGCTAATTTCTGTTTCAGTTATTTATTAATTTAACACATCAGCCCAAAACAGAGAGTATTTTGTGTGTGTGTGTGTGTGTGTGTGTGTGTGTGTGTGGTGCTGGAAATCAAATCCACAGCCTCACATATGCTAGGCAAGTGCTCTCCCACTGAGCAGGAGAGTACATAGTCTTAAAACAACAAAGTCATTATTTCTCATGCTTTTGTTACTTGATGAGGTTTACCTGGACAGTTCTGCTCCATAACTCAGCTCACTCATGCAACTATATCCAGGTAAGAGATCAGATGGAACTTGTACACCTAAGATGGTCTCTGATCCTCTGAAGTATCTCTCCACATGGCTTCTCATCACTTAGTAGTCTATCCCAAGGTTCTTTAAAGCACTATGGTCAGCTTCCAAAAGTACAAAATCTCAACCCAGCGCTGGTGGCTCATGTCTGTAATCCTAGCTACTCAAAAGGCAGAGATCAGGAGGATCAAGGTTCAAAGCTAGCCCAGGCAAATAGTTTGTGGGACCCTATCTCAAAAAAACCCATCACAAAAAAAGGACTGGTGGAGTCACTCAGAGTGTGGGCCCTGAGTTCAAACCCCAGCACCCAGGGAGGGTAGGGGTAAGGAACAAAAGTACAAAAATCTCAATAGGTAAATCCTTATCAAACTTTTGCTTCCTAATGTCTCACTGGACAAATCAAGTCAGATGCCAACTCCAGAATCTATATGGTTAGGAACTGCACAAAGTCATAAATATGGAAAGTGTTGGTCACTGGGGACCAAAAATGTAATATTCCACCATAGCTCCTGGTGATCATGTGTCTGTCTGTTAGAACTAGAATGACTTAAGAGGTTCTAACTACAGAGTGCTTAGAGTGCTTCATGGCCTGGCAAGAAAGGATTAGTTGGGAAAAGAAAACTCTTTTGCAATTTTGGAATTAGGACACTAGGCAGTCAGCTCACTTAGCTAGGAGGTGCTGAGTAAAAGGTGCTGTAGATATGAGAGCTAAGGCCATGATTTTGGGACCTAAGGAAGCTGACAAGGAGGTAGGAGAAGTAGGTCCACAGAAAGAACAGAACAGAACAGACTTACACAGAGACAGAGATGAGAGAGATCATGTTGTGAAGTATAACCTTATTCCTGATTTCCCAATTCCCATGAAGCCTTATTGAACTTTATTTCCTGCATTATATGGCAGTTTCAGCCACATTCTCATGATAAAGCACTCTTTTTGGGCCAGGTGTAGTGGTGACACCTGTAATCCAACTACTTTGGAGGCAAAGATAGGATGATGGGGGTTTGAGGCCAGCCCAAGCAAAGTTAGCTGGAGACCTGACCTGAAAAGCAAATGGACTGAGGGTGTGGCTCCAGTGGTAGAATACTTGCCTAGAAAGCATGAGGCCCTGAGTTCAATTCTCCAGTATGGGGGTTGGGGAGGAGCACCCTTCATCTACACAATAAAAATAAGGGTAGCTGAAGCTGGGGATATAACTCAGTAGTAAAACACTTGCCTAGCATGTGTGAGGCCCAGAGTTCAATCCCCAAATCCACTAAAAATAAAAAATAAGGATATCTAAAACCAAACCATAATAAGAATTTTTATTTTGTTTTGCTTGTTTTGCTTTGTTTGAGTCAGGATCTCACTACATAGTCCAGGCAGGCCTGGAACTCAGGATCTTTCTGCCTCACCCTCCTGAGACTGGGACTAGAGGTGTGCACCACCATGCTTGGATTATAATGGGCATTTAATGGCTTCCAAAAAGCATTTAGACTTGACTCATTAATAAGATTTTCGAGACTATGAATTTTATGATCCATCCAAGTTTTTGGAAAATAATTCTGATGTCAAAGAAATGAAAGACCATTCAACAAATGTTTATTGAGTGCCTATTATGTATCAAGTACTAGAGATACAATGGTGAACCACACAAACACAATCTCTACTTTCATGGAGCTTATATTCTAGCTGGGGGAAGAGGGGAAGTAGTAAGAGAAGTATACAGTTAACAAATGAACAAGAACCAAGATGACTACAAAGAGTGATGCATACTATAAAGAGTTCAACAGGATGATTCATTGGAGAGATGGAAGTTGGGTTAGAGGCTGATTTACATAGGCTAGTCAAGGAAACTACTCTAAGGAGGAGACACTGGAGATGAATGCCAAAAAACAAACAAACAAACAAACAAACAAAAAACAGTCATTTAAAGATCTTGAAAGACATTCTAGTGCAAAGACCATGAGATAGGTCCATGTTCAGTGAGTTAGTTCAAGGAACAGAAAAAAAAAAAAAAGGTCAATATATGTAGCGTGCAATAATTAAGTGGCAGACTACTTAATCATAAGTTTTCTTATGTTAAAGAGTTTAGATTTTAAATAAACACCAACTGGTGCTTGAAGGGTTTTAAGCTGAGAAGATAAAGCTGAGCAGATTTATGGAATAAGATCACTCTAATTGGTATTTGAATGGTTTAGAGAGTAAGTGAACTATTGCTGTAGTTGAAATAGATGATTGTGGGTTGAACTAATATATAGTAGAGGAGGAAGATAGTGAAATTATATTATGAGTTGGAGGTAAAGTTGATAGATCTATCAGTTAATTTCAAAGTATAGGATAGGGCTATCAAGATTTGGCTGAAGCAGTGCATGTACAGGGGAGGGGAAGATTGAAGAAAGAACAGATTTGAATTGGGGAGATAAATCTAGAGATCTTTTTGGAACATGAATCGTTGGATATCCAATGTATAATATCACTGGATATCCAAATGGAATATCAGAGAGGTAGCTGGATGTACAAGCTGGGGACTCAGGGAATAGTCAGAATCAGGGGTTTATATTTGGGAATCACCAACAGATAGATATAACTGAAATCTTTGAGAACTGATGAAAGCATTCTGGGAGCA